GGAGGAGGAAGAAGAAGAAGAAGAAGAAGAAGAAGAAGAAGAAGAAGAAGAAGAAGATACCTGAGTGTGGGATGGTGGTGCAAGCAGTCTTCCTGGGGGGGAGGAGGATGGCGCGGGTTGATGGTGGCGCGGCCTGAGGGTGGCAGGGTGACGACGACGATGATGGCGCTGCCTGAAGGTGGCAGGGTGAAGACGGCGATGACTCGACAGGGCAACGATGACGAGGCGCGGATGACCACGGCAGGGCGACAACGGCGGGGTCGACCACAGCAGGGAGACGACCTGGCGCGGGGGGTAGGGCGGAGGGCACAGGTCTGTGCACGGAGTCCCAAGATTCGAATTCAAAATCTTGGGACTTCTGCGCCGTCGATCAATGCAGATCGACGGCCCAGGTGCCAAACAAAAAACAAAACGAAATGGGGCCTGCTGGATCCCGAAAATTTTTGCGGCCGCCGCCAGAATCTTTTTTTTCCCCTGTGGGCCTTCAGCCCACACCGGATGTTCCTTACCCTTGGATTGAAGACAGATATTGGTGGTGGAGCCTTGGTATTATTCCCAACTATTTGTTGTGCAACGCTTGGCGACTTCAGATCCAGACCAACGATTCCGAGAACGCGTCCCTGGGGATCGAACACTGCCACATCAAAAAGGAAAAAGCACCCCAAAGAAGCTCTTAATTTCATGCGGTTCTTTACAAACGACGCCCTTTTAAGATGGGAAGACAAAAAACAAAACAAAACAAAACAAAACAAATAAGGCAGGACAGTTTAGTGTGAAAAAAGGACACAACCATTCATACCCAACCCACTTTGGGGACTTAGGGCGTCGCCACACGGCACAAGAATCGAAAAACGAAACGAGTGCATCTTCTCACAGAGAATGGCCAGGTTCATCGGTGTCCTATAATTAGTAACGAGTGTATCTCGCCACCTTTCCTGGGCAGATGCACTCGTGTCTTTTTCGTTTCTTGTGCCGTGCAGCGATGCCCTTACTGTGAACCAAAGTCACGACTAAGGTTAAGGGTTCAAAAAAATCCCGGTTCAAATAAATCCCTTCTTCCGCTCGTCAACTTTGCTGCCTCACGACTGCTGACTCCTCCAACTTGAAGGGAGAAGAGCTCATCAGTCTGAGACTCGACCCAAACAAGATCACTGTGTATGGCCCTCGCTGCACTACTCTCCACATGCAGAAAAGACAAAGAAGATGGCGGTGTATCTTTCCATGTTCTAGCCGAAGATTCATTCTCATTTTGCACATTTGGAGAGTACTGCAGCGAGGCCCTATGTTTGGTTGTTCAACCATGATGATCATGCGGTCTGCTGAGTTTTTGGTTTGTTTGTTCGCTGAGATAAATTGATTCTTTCCCACTCCCATGCTTTCCCCACAGTGATTTATTTTCCTCCTTTGGTTCTTACGGCGAGATCCCACTGGCAAAGAGGATTGTAGTAATTGTCTGAATGTAGACGTGTTTGTGGACAGGTGCAAAAATTTGTGATTGATCTACTTGTGTGCACCTCTGCGTGGAACACGTCCAGATTCAGACACTTCTTCCAATCCTCTTTGCCAGTTGGATCTGGCCCTTAGAAAGAGAGGAGGATTGCAACTCCCACTAACCCCTGCACAAATTTCCATTTCCCGTTCTCATTGCAGAACGGCCCCTCTCAGAATGCACTCACGATGGTGACATCTCAACCCTTCGCTCCCCCCCCCCCCCCCCCCAAACCACACACATGCACACACAAACAATCAGCTTTACGTATGCATGTCCTCTTTCTACATTTTTTCTTACTTTCTGTGTCTGAGCGAGCACCCTCCAGAAGTGCTAAACAGTCGATGGTCGGTTGTTTGGAGTGCCTGCAGGACGCTTAGGGGGGGTGCTCTGTCTCTGATGTCTGTGGTGCATCTGGTCTATGGGTGATGGTAGATCTCCGTCGAAGTGGCTTCCTTGCTCAGGGTGTCGTGGGAACCAACAGTCTGCGGGGTTCTTCTTGTGATGTGCGTAGGTCATGGATGGCTTTGCCCGTCCAAGTAAGACCGAGTTGAGATAGAAGGGCTGCAGCGTTTGCCCCCCCGAGTCTTGTTCCGATGGTCACACGCTCAATGATGATGTAGTTAATACTGTGAGAAGTAAACCTCTGGCTACATCATTAATCTTTTGAGTTTTCAATCTTCGATGGGCTTGCTCCATGTTGGACGTGTGGACTGCCTTGTCTATGCTCTGTGGCTGCCTTGCTGCCCATTCCGCTCCCTCCTCATGTCCTCCTTTCGACTGGTGCGTTGCTGTGTAGTTTGGATGCATTGTTGGTGTTGCCTTATGCTTCGCTGCACTGTAGCTTTGCTGTCCATTCACGTGCCTTGTCGTCTCGTGCATTTTGCTTGTGTGATGTGCAGTTTTGCCGTTGCTGCAGCGCTGCTGTGCTGTTGCTTTGCTGTGCTGTTGCTTTGATGCCAGTCCTCTTGCGCAGTCGCTCCGCGCAGTTACCTTGACTCTTTTTTGCAGTTGGGTTGCCCTGGCAGCATTGCCTCGTGCTCCGCAGAGTTGATTCCTGCTGCTATGCTCCGCTTGCGATGTCGCCTGCTGGCAGTCGGCTTTCACCAAAGGTCAAATGGTTCATGACCCAAAGCATCAGTGTGGAGATTCTTTCTCTCATCGAGGGCTCAGTATCCTGACGAGTCCGTGCAGCTCCGATGAAACAATCTTCTCCGATGAAACAATCTTGCGTCAAAGGTTTTTTGTTTTTTTTTTCCGGACTTTGCTTCTTGCCTTGTGCTGTCGCTTGTTGTCCGATGCAACAGACCTTTGGCCCTGTACCCTTTAGCCTTCGTCCCTCGCTGTCGCTTACTGTCCAATGCAACAAACCTATGGCCCCTGCTGTTGCTTGTTGTGCGATGCCTTTGGTGCATCATACTCTTTGCTTCAATGTCGTTTGTCTGCTGTTCCGTACCGTACTTGTATTGTTTTGGTCTTCGCGTCTTGCCTTGTGCTGTTTGTCTCCGCATCATTGGTTTAGCTTTGATGCTGTGCAGTTGGGTTGCCCCAGTAGGCTCGCCTAGTGCGTTGCTGAGCCGTTGCCTGCTGCTATGTTCCACTTGGCGTGTTGCCTGCAGGCAGTCTGCCTTCAACAATGGTTAAAGGGTCAATGACCCAAAGCATCGATATGGGGATTCTGCAGATTGTCGGGCGTTCGGCCTCCTAGTGAGTTGGTGCAAGTCTGACAAAACAATCTCTCATCATCAGTTTTTATTCTTTTTGGGTCCTCATCTTTTTCCGGGACCTTTTTTTCCCGCTTGTTTGCTGCCTTTTGCCTCTCTGCCTTTGCATTGGTGCCTTTTGGGTTGCTTGAGTTTCCCTTGCTGCCTTGTGCTGTTTGTCTGCCTACCCACCTCCCCCCTGCCGTCCAGCCTTTTCTGCTTTGTGCTGCTTGTTAGTCCTTGCCCTCGAGCCTTTTTCCCTTGCTGCCTTGTGCTGTTTGTC